TTTGGGATATCCCAAATGCGCATTCCGATTTGGGATATCCGAAATGATCATTTCGGACATTAACGCATTTCGGGTACTTAATTTATATGCAGGAGCAAAAAATTGAACCATTCACACCTAATGCGTTCGAGAATATACACTTGACATTCAGAAAATAAAAATAAATTTTTATTATCCGTTACTAATATCCGTGTGCATATTTATTAATAATATTGTGGGTCAGCAGAAGACCAAAATTTGGATTTCCTCCCTTCTTTAATATCTTAATATTTTTGTTCGAATTTTGTCTCTTCCCTCGAAAAAAATATTGCAAATTCGGTAAAAATGATTAAATTTTTATTTTTATTTCCCAACTTAATGATGAGCGATATGCTTGTTCAATTCTTTGTAATTGGTTTGATTCTCGTAATTTCCGGAGTATTATTGCGACAAAAATCCCGTGTTAAATTGGTAACAATTTTAAAAAATATATATATATATATTTTTTTTTTTCATTTTACTAATATATTTCTTTATTTTATCTAAAGAATGAACCACCACTTGTTCCATATAAGTACCCAATAATCGGACATACATTTGAATATTATAAAGATGTTTTGGGGTTTCTAAAAAAATGTCATGAAGAGGTTTGTGTATATAAGAGTTATACATTTTTTAAAGTATAAAAATTTAAGTTAAAAATATTTCATTTGTGTAATATTTACTAGCATGGTGATATCTTTTCACTTTACATCTGGGGGACCATTCAAACTTATGTTGGAAATGAAAATTACAGCGAAATATTTAAAAATCATCATAATTTTGATTTTCATGAAGCTCTCAATGATACATTTCCGATAGCTAATATTCTTAATCGTCCTGATGATTATTTTAAAGATTTCAAAAAATTTACAAAAGAATTTTTACATGATTTGGACAAATATTCAGAAAGCGTATACCATAAAATTATTAAATCAATTGACGAAATTCTTGTCGAAGGAAAAGGTAAAAGTTTTTAAAATTATTAAAAAAAGATAAAATTGATGATTAGGAAATAATATTTATTTTATTAGTAATTCGACCTCCCATAAACACGATTCAACAAATAATTGCAAGACCAATTGCAAATATAATTATTGGTGTGGAATTATGTGATGATAAAGAATTACTCAATACATTTGTGAGCTTAACGGCAGATATAGGTCTTTGGTTATCAATTCCTCCCGCTCTTAATTTTATTTATTTCAACTTACATAGAAAATTTATTATGTAAGTTTATAATTATTTTCCTGTTAAAATATTTTTTTATATTCAAAAATATATCCTTCCTTTCTCTAGGTTCAAATTCCGTTATCTAAACAATCCAATAAAAATTCACCGAAATGTCATTCTTACAAAAATTACTCCCGTCATTAATCAACGAATATCTGACAAAAATAATCTAAGAGATTCTTGGAAACGTCCAGTAAGAAACTATAAAATAAATATTCTATACTTCGTAGTACATATAGTACATATTCCAAACTCTATTTTTTTTTAGATCGATATAATGCAAGAATTAATGGACAAATTTATGGTTGATGAGAAGAGTGTTGATATTGAAAGTGTCGCGGATTTTATTATGATTTTTATATTTTCTAGTGTACACTCAACTTCATTGACTTTTACACAATGTTTATTTGGTATGCAGAATTTATTTATTTTTTTTCACGATGATCTCAATATACGCTAAGATTTTTTTTTTATGCATTTATTTTCCTTTAGATTATGTAAATAATCATGAATATCATAAAGAATTATTAGAGGAAGCCGAAAAAATATATGATGATGATAAACTTTTACTTCATTATACAATTAGTAAATCAGATAAAATGGAAAGATTAGATCACTTTATTAAAGAGTCATTTAGGATTAATAGAATGCCAGTTTCGTTTCCTCATAAAACTGTTTCTTCGCAATTTACCTTTGCAAATGGATTTCAAGTACCAAAAGGTAATTTATTATAAAATATTTTATCACAATTGATAATATTGATTTAATAATATTCTTCTATAGGTCGTGTTGTTCAAATAATTACCCAACAAATTTATTATGATCAAAAGGCTTTTGGTTCCGATCCTGAAAAATTTAATCCGAATCATCATGTAAAATCTCCTGTTACGCGCCCAGAACGTAATTTTATTGCATTTGGAACAGGTAAATTATTATGTCCCGGACGTTTTTTTGCCATTTATGAAATCAAAGTTGCGATGCATTATATATTATTGAAATATAATGTTAAAAGTGTTAGTGGTAAACATGTAAAACCTAAAAGAATTGGTGATTATATTCTTCCTAGTGATGAAGGATTGATCTTTGAAAAAAAAAGGAATGATAAAGATTTTCGAAATATAAAGTGTAAATAAAATAAAACTTTTTGGACTTGATGTTTGTTGTACATGACCAATTCTGGCAAATTGTTGTTATTAGTTTTTATTATTGTTATTTCTCTTGTTGATCGATTTTTCAAGTAAGGATGTTCCGGAGTTATCAATAATATTTAGAATGATCTGACCCGATATAAACTAAGAGTTTCTATATTTCTGTGTGCTCAAAATTTGAAGTAGGTAATACATTGGGATCTCTCAAAGGATTATTGTCATGAAAATTCTTTTTAATATTTGATGGAAAAACTCCATAATTTTCTCTTATAGTTCGGATAGGAAACAATCCACCTTGGTTCATCGGTAAAAATTGTTTTGCTGGTGCTGGAACTCCGTGATTCCAATTATAATGTTGTTGTAATGGTGATGGTTGTTGTCTTATATTTTCTACTTCATTATAATAATTATAAAATCCTGGTCGAGATTCTTCGAAACCTCTATTTCCAATAGGAGGTAAGTTTTCAAAATGATTTGTAATAGGAATACCACGTGGAGGTTGCATCGTGTTATTTGAAAATGAATTTGAATTTGTCATTTCTTCTGTCGAATACGTACTGGTTGTAAAATCTTGTTTATCATCTTTTCTCCTTTGTGAACTGCACATGAAAAAGATTAAACCAAAAACTCCAGAAACACCAACAATAATTACACATGCTATAGCAGCTTTCTTAATGTTAGAATTGTTGTTCTTTTTTTTACAAAAATTCTTATGACAAATAAATCCATCTAGACATTCATCATCATCATTATTACATTGATCATCTAACTTTCCTTTACGTTGACACTTTCCCACAGAAAGGTCACAAAACTTTGCTTTAGGACAATCTTGTGATATACTACAAGTAGTATCTAATAAAGGCTTTGGGGTCGACGTTGCTGTAGGTAAAGGAGCCGAATTTGCGGATTCTGTTACAATAACTTGTGTCGGTTCATTTACCGACTCCGTTGGTTGTGGCTCAAGTCCTTTAGTTGTTGTTGCTGTTGGGGGAGGTGATGGTGTAAAAACAGTAGGTTTTGGTAAGTCAGAAGTTTTTTGTTCAGGTGCACTAGACGTTTGTTGTTGTTTAGTTGAAGATGGAAGTTTGGATGATGATTGTTTAGGTGGAAATGGAAGTCCGGTTGGTGTTTGTTTGGGTGGTTCACTAGATGGTTCTTTTTGTTTAGGTGGATCTTTCGTTTTAATTTTATTTAAATACAAACAAAACAAAAGAAATGTAGAATGTAAATGATGTCCTACTATTTATTTAACTCATTTCGAAAGTTACTCACCTTGTGGAACTTGTGGAACGGCGTTTACCAGAACGTCAAATATTATCATTAACGTTAAGGAAATCAAGACCAAAATAATCTTATGTAATTTCATTGTTTTTAAAACGATTTGAAATTGAGGTTCAACGTATTTTATGTGATTTATAATATTTATCTTATCTTATGCTGAGCTAGAAATTAATGAAGGTTTAGAAGAGCAAAATATTAAAACGTTCCATTGAGTTTATTTAATTTTCATCAATCCAAGTTGGCGCATTCGTCAAGTAAATGAATTATTACGAATTATGCGGCGAAAATAAAATAAAATAAAAAATTTAAAAAAATAAGGAGTTATTTTTATAACTTAAAATAGTCTATTTAAATAATGTTATTTATTTCATTTTTGCTTATTTTCATTAGGAATATTATTACTAAAGTAGATTTCTTTCAATAAAATTCTTTTTCACGTTCAATGTCAATGATTTACATATTGGATTCATTAATGTAGATTTAATATGATGGAACATCAATTATAAAGATTAGGGGATTTAATATTATGGTTGCCGTTTCTTTTTCGTTGATAAATAAAAAGTAAATTTTAATTTATTTTTGCTTTATCGCTTTTATTTATACTACGGTTCATAAATGTGGGTCTTGCCGCAGTAATATAGTAATAATTCATTTTGCAAATCAAAGACGCAATTTCTTTATTGCTTATTTTTTTTTATATAGGATCTTATAAGAAATCAATTCTTTAATATTTATTACTTTGTAACTTATCCCTTCAATGGTTTTTCTTCCAAATTCAAAAGGAATTTTACCTACTAACAAATAATATTTTTATAATTTTTTAATTAAAATCAAAAAAAAAACAAATTTACATTAATTATTAACTTATTGCATTAATTTAAGATCAAATTTTGAATATTTTTAATAAAAGTATTTTCTTTATAAAAGCTAAAATTTTATAAATTTTATTTATTTTTATATTATTAAAAAAAACTTTATAAATATAAAAATTTTATATTTAAACTAATCAAAATAAGTCCAAATTGGCTAAATATCAAATAGACGAATGATAAATGATTGATAACTGATTTATAGCTGATTTATATTAATTCCAATTGACTAATTTATAATCAATCAGAATAATCAATTGGTTATTAATTGGTTATCTAAAATCAACTTAAAACTACTTAAATTTAGCCATCTAGAGTTCTGAATAAGTTAGTTGAACGAGTTTTTGTCGAGTTGAGTCAAAATTTTTAAATCTCAACTTGACTCAACTCATAAATAAAGGTGTGAAAGACAATTTGTTTCAATTGAATGGTAAAAGATTGTTCTAAAAGAATGATAATAAAATCATTCTGATAAAACAATAAATCATCATTCTAAAGGAATGATAAATAATATCATTTTAATAGAATAATTAAACATTATTCTAAAGGAATAATAAATAAAATTATTCTGATAAAATGATAATATATTGTTCTAAAGGAACGATATAAGAATTATTCTAATAGAATATTAAATCATCATTTTAAAGGAATGATAAAAGAATTATTCTAATAGAATGATGAAAAGAATCATTTTAAAGAAATGATAAATAACATCATTTTAATAGAATAATTAAATATTATTCTAAAAAAATGATAGAAGAATTGTTCTAATAGAAAGATAATGCATTATTTTATCAGAATGATAAATAAATTATTCTACTGAAATGATTATGCATTACTCTAAAGGAATAATAAATAATATTGTTCCTTTAGAATGATAAAAAACCATTCTGATAGAATGATAAATTATCATTTTAAAGGAATGATAAATAAATCATTCTGATAGAATAATGAAAAAAATTATTCTAAAGGAACAATAAATAATATCATTCTAAAGGAATAATAGAAAAATCATTCTGATAGAATAATACCATAAAGCACTGCCTAAAAGACCTTCTTTTAATAGTATTCTCGTGATATATATCTGGGTATTTTATTAAATGCAAAACAATGGCTTTTAAGTTAAGACCCGGGTATCAATCAATTTTCAAATCAAGTAAATTGATCAATATCTGAATATTTTATCAATCATAAATAAATTAATTTACATATAATTAATATTAATTGTATAAAACAAATAATTTCATAATTTATACGTTTAGAAAATAAAAATATTTTTGAATTAATTTATTTAATAAGCAAAAAAAAATAATAAAAGCAATTGATTTCTATTTTAAATTTGTACAAATTGCAAAAAGTAATTATTATATAATTAAAAAAACTCACCTCTCAACATAGTAATTATTATTTAAAAAACCCTCCAATAAATCTAAAGTATTAAATAAATATAAAGAAAATTATAAAAGAATTAAAATTATATATATGTTTAAATATAGTAAATATTTTTAACTCAATAAACCCACCTTCACTCATCATCATGATTAGTTTCCCAACTTGATTGGCTTGCGTCCACTTCATTTTCTTCTTCTCCTTCATTATTAGAATCACCTAAAAACAAAAGTGATTCAGCTATTTGTATCAACTGTTACTGTTGACATTGTTGTAGCAGTTGTTGCTGCTGATGGAGTTGTTGTTATAATTGCTGCTGCTACTCTTATATTTGTAGAAGCTGCTGCTGCTGCTGTTGTTGTAATTGTTATTGTAACTGCTGCTGCTATTGAAGTTGTTAATGTTGTTGTCGTCTGGGTCTATGAATAACTGAAAATATTGATATAATTAAATTAAATTCATTAATAAGATTCAAAATAAGAAAAAAAAATACCATTTACCTGGTTTGACCTAAAAATGGGTTCTAAACTCCTTATGATACATAGTACCATTTCTAATTTGTTTTCACTTGGAATCATCAGCAAGAAATTGTTCCATTTTCTATCAAAAATTATATCAAATTAACTAATATTCGAAAAGATAATGGCAGTATATTATATAATTTTATATATTTACCTTGCAATCTTTCACGATTCCATAAAATTTTTCACTTGCCTGCCTTCCCGAAAAATTTGTTCTAAATCTTTGATTAATTCTTCCAGCAAGTGAAGTCCACCATGCTCTTTTACAAGTGCCACCACCAAGTGCATGGTATTGAGCATTATTTTCTTTCCTTTCATCAATTAACATTCTTACTTTATCATCATTCAAAATAGACATTATTGAAAAAGAATTAAAAAAAATTTGAATTTTTTTGGAATTTAAAAGAATTTTAATTTTTTTCAAAAAATTTGGATTCTTTTTGAAAAAAATATGAAAATCAAATCTTAAAGA